ATGGTGGTGTGCTATCAGCTTGGTGGGATAATTAATTACTTGAAGATAAAGACAGAGATGTTTATGTGGAGGCCAATGCAGGTGAATAGAGTCAAAGAGCTGTACAGCATGGAAACAGACCCTTCGGTCCAACTCGTCCATACCGACCAGATATCCTAAATTAATCTAGTCCCATTTACCAGCATTTGGCCCAGATTCCTGTAAACCCTTCTTATTCACATACCCATCCAAATGCCTTTTAAATGTTGTAATTTTACAGCCTCCACCATTTCCACTGGCAGCTCATTAGTAATAAGATAAAACATTTTCCTTCCAAAACTTAGCGTTCTCACTGATGAGTAGGGAAATCTTCAGCTTTGAAGGCTGTCTATGATGATCAAGCTAAACGATGTTGAAGCCTACAGGATAACCTGGTTGCATTAACTGTTTGTCATTTAATGCCTACCGTAGAACAATTGTACAAGAACAATTGTTCAATTTAGTAAAGCTTGTGGTTTAAAGTCACTTGAGCCCAAATCACATTGAAATTATTTTTGAAAGAGTAACGAATTGTGACAGTAAATATGGAAAGAAACAAAGCAAAAACTGGAGCAACTCAGCAGGTCGGGTAGCATCTATGAAGACAGTGAAACAGAGTGAATGTTTCAGAATCCAATGTGACTCTTTTTCGGAATGTTCTGAAAACGTATCCCTGTGTTTTTCTATTCTCTGTGTTTGTTAAGATTTCTAGCATCTGCAGTGTCTTGCTTTTTAAATAAATATGGGAAGGAACATGCTTTCATAGGTATCAACAGGAAGGCAGAAGAAACGTAAAGGGGACTAAAAGTAGTAGTGATTCTTTACTGTCGTTATTAAAAATTGGCTTGTGTTAATTGTCACTGGTATACACTGCTGCTGTGTTTGCCTTTATTTTCTGTTCCTGTTTCTGACCCTGGATCATAGAATGAGGGAGGGTCCAGCAGGCCTGGAACAGGAATGGGGACTTTTTGTGGTTTCTGTGAATGGAACCTTATTAAATATATTTAATATTCCCCTTTTACAAGCAATCAATATAGTTATAAATTAAGGTAGGAGCAAATTACTGCAGATGCTGGAATCTGGACCGAAAACAAAAAATGCTGGAAATCACAGTGGGTGAGGCAGCATCCATGTACAGACAGCAAGCTAACATTTTGAGTCTAGATGACTCTTCATCAGAATAGACACAATTTCAAAAAGGAGCATGGGAATTATTCTGGGAGTTCTGGACAATATATATCCCTCAGTAAACACCGATGTAATTATTCGATTATCATCACATTGCTGTTCATGGAATCTTGTTCTGTGCAAATCAGTGGCTGTTCTATATTACAACAGCGACTACACTCCTAGTGCTCCATTGTTTGTGAAACAGTTTGGAATGCCTTGAAGATTTAAAAAAGCTAGAGAAGTGTAATTTTTTGCATCATTTAATAATGAAAGTGTTATGAAAAACTCAAAGAAGTGAAGGAGAAAGGAGAATGGAGAAGATGAGTCACCTTCCACTCTATACGTTTGCCCTGTTCTCAGCATGTGCAAAAGGCATCTTTCTGTTTAACATTTGTTCATTTTTGCCTTGATTCATTAATATGTTACACCTAAATTCTTTGTTTCTTTGTTTCTTTACCCTAATCTTTCCTCTGCTATTCTTTCAATGACTGTGCTTACACAACACTCTTTCAATTCAATCCTATTCTCTTTATAACTCATTATTGCCTTTGTGGGAAAAGACAGTTTATCCAGAAGAGGCTTGGCATTTGCGTATTCCTGAGTAATTCAATAGTATCTGCTCTCTGTCTTCCCTCAATCTTAACCATTCAAGCTGGTCTCCATATCAAACTTCCATCATTGGCTCAGGAGCATTACAAGCAGCATTTAGTGGAGAAACAGGCCATTAACCAACTGCTAAATCTTTTTTGTTGATTCATTCATGGATGAGGGTGTCGCTCGTTAGGACAGCATTTATTGCCCATCCCTATTTGCCCAGGGGGCAGTTAAGAGTTAACCACATTGCTGTTGGTTGGGAGTCACACATAGGCCAGACCAGGTAAGGATGGCAGATTTCCTTGCCTAAAGGACATCAGTAAACCAGATGGGTTTTCCCGAAAATCGACAATGGATTAATGGTCATTATTACATTTTTTTATTGAATTCAAATTCCATCTGCCATGGCGCGATTCAAACCCAGGTCTCCTGATCATTATCTGGGTTTCTGGATTAACAGTCCAGTGATAATACCACTAGATCATTGCCTCCCCCTCCCCCTCTAATTATACAGAAGTATCTATCTCCATCTGCTGTCCTCTGTCTTCTTTCTTCAGGATGTGGATGTGCCAGTGTTGGACTGGGGTGGACAAGGTCAAAAGTCAGATAACACCAGGTTGTGGTCCAACAGGTTTATTTGAAATCACAAACTTTTGGAGCACTGCCCCTTCGTCAGGGCAAGTCACCTGAAGAAGGGACAGCGGTCCAAAAGCTAGTGATTTCAAATAAACCTGTTGGACTATAACTTGGTATCATCTGACTTCTGACCTTCTTTCTGCAAGGCACTACCAGCCTGCCACTACTAAAGTCACTCCTTTTGTTAATTGCAGAGGAGCAACAACATGCCCAAGGAATAGTCTCTCTTCTTGCACTTTCAGAATTATTTGGTCCTCTCCAGTTCCTGTTCTGTATGCTGCCCCTCAGTAACATTATTTGTAAGCCAAGGTTCAGTTTTCACACATAGCTCATAACTCCACTCAATTTAAGGACTGGTTGCATGCCTGTGCAACATCACATCCTGAATGAGCCATAACAACTTATTATCAAAAAGTCAATTCTGCCCTTTCAAGCTTCGGGATTTCCATACTACAGTCTTCAATTCCATCTTACGATCAGGTTGAATCTAATGGTGTATAACCTTGATTTGACTTTCAGCTAAGCTTCAAACCACTTTAATTATCTCCCCAACATCATCTCCCTCTGCCCTTCTCATTTCTGTATGTTTGTCACCTCCACACTTGAATTTTACAGTCTCTTCTCATTTACCTTTGAAGCTCCATCTTACCAACATTCAAATTCAAGCCACACCTCCATCTTATCCCATATTAAGTCCTGCTTCCTCAGTGTCTTCACCAATATCCGTTAGCAGTTCTTTCCCCAAAGTGCATTGGCTGCAAAATTCTCCTCCTCAATGACATTTCCCTTCAGGGTCATGCCCTAGCTTCTCTCTGAAACTTACTGCAGCACTAGGCACCAACTCACACCTTATACTGTATCCACTTCTCATTTATTGTGTGTTCTCTGCTAACAATCAGTGGTAAAACCATCAGAAATGAGGTTACCTCTGTGGCTAGGTCCTGGAGATGACCAGTTTTAATATCCCAATGATCTTCTGAACTTGCAGCAATGCTTCTCCACTTTTCAGTAAAGAAGTGCACCAGTGCAACAAGTTTAGATCTTCCAGGTAGAAGCTCCCCTCTTATATAATCCTTCATGTTTTATTTAATGGTCCTTCTGCTTGGTAAACAAACACAATAACAACAGCTTGTATTCATATAGAGCCTTTAGCATGGCAAGCCATTCTAATGTAGTTCACAGGAATGTTATCAAAGAAAATTTGACACTGAGTCACGGAAAGAAATAATGGCTAGGTCGGTGATAGATATAGGTTTTAAGGAGTGTCTAAATGGAGGAGACAGAGTTTTAAAAAAACACCAACAGCTTCAGTGAGGGAGGAGATTGGGGCCTGGACAGTTAAAGGGATGGTCACCAATGAATGATTACAAACAGGATTTTCAGATACAGATAATATATACACTATATGAATGTATATATATGTATTTATATATATAGTAGCAGCCTCTGACTATAAGGATTGTCAATTATCTTGGCCAATTTTGAGTGGCTAATATTTTATGTTGATTGTGAGTCACATCTGAATTTTAATACAGAGACAAAAGTACATAGAGTCATACAGCAGGGAAACAGATGCTTCGGTCCAACCAGTCCATGCCGAACATAATCCAAACTGAACTAGTTCTACCTACCTGCTCCTGACCCACGTCCCTCCAAACCTTTCCTATTCATATATCCATCCAAATGTCTTTTAAACGTTGTAATTGTACACGCATTCACCACTTCCTCAGGAAGTTCATTCCACACGTGAACACCCTCTGTGTAAAAAAATTGCCTCGTGTCTTTTTTAAATCTTTCTCCTCTCAACTTAAAAACGGAAGAATGATAACAGAGATAGTAGGAACTGCCGATGCTGGAGTCTGAGATAACAAGGTGTAGAGCTGGATGAACTCAGCAGGCCAGGCAGCATCAGAGGAGCAGGAAAGCCTACGTTTCGGGTATGGACCCTTCTTCAAAAAATAGAATGATAACAGAACTGTGTTTTTATTAAGAAAATATTGTTTGTGCCCTTCTCTTGATTGCAATATTGAAATTATATAAATATACGTTCTTGATTGTTTTCTCTTTCAGAAAACACAGTTTCCACCTGTTCACTGAAGGTAGAATACCCCAGAACTGAGTTAAACTATAGTGTTGGAGACAGTCTAACATTGAACTGTACAGTTTTATTCCACCATCAAGATGTTCTTGCAACGTATTGGTGTAAGGTACATTCAAATAGCTGTCAGCCACTGAATGGGTCAATGAATCAGCAGCTCAATTCACATCCTTCTGAAAGCACAGAAAACATGGTACTAGTGGTTTACACAGTCCCTTCTGTTACCTTGGACGACAGCGGCGTATATCGATGTCAAGCTAATCAAAGAGGTGTGACTTTATACGGTCACTCTGTCATGGTGTCTGTATTTGGTAAGAATTGCTTTCTATATAGACATACCCATTTAGTTCTGTGAACTTTGTGCTGCTCATGGTACGGACAGTTAGCACAATAATCAAATCCTATCTCATTTCAGGAAGCCAGTATCAGCATCAAATGTTTTCAGGTCAGGTAGAATGTAAAGCTCCTTTCCATATCCCAATTAAGCAGTCTGATGCCACATAGTGGTAATCCATTCATGATGTATATGTGAGCAGCAGGTCAGTGTGAAACCAAAGGATCAATTCAAGACCAGTGGATTAACAGGTGTCATGAGTGGATCACTCACATCAAACAAATGAAATATCTATATTTAGTTCGATCAGATTTTAAGTAAAAAGTTGCATAATTTCCAACATATCTATTTCATTCTGGGTTGTGGGTGTTGCCATCAAGACTGGAATTAATTGTCCATTCCAAGTGACCCTGATGCAATCTCAGAGGGCAGTGAAAAATCCACCATCATGCTCTGGGTAGAATTTCTAGTTGGGATTAAATCTTCCTGGATATTTTATCACAAGAACTAGCCCTGCGCTCCAGCCAATACTTGCCCAACAGATCCATTCTTGTGCCTTCTTGCTCCAACTGGTAGGCAAAAAGATCATTATTCAATTGGATGATGCTTGGCTGTCAGCCAAACAGCTTTCCCCACACCCCCCACCCCCATTTTCGACAGAGAAATGTCTAAAGAGAACTTAAAACAAAAACAATCTTTTTGAATGCCTCTATGATTTTTCTCCAGGATTCCACATAGCAGCATCGTAGAGATTTATCATCAGTTCCTGACGACTCCCCAGGCCAATTCTGAAGCCTGAGCTATGGAGCTGGAGTCTTATTTAAGCCAGATCAGATAAAGTGGTGATTTTTACTGTCCTCAAGGATTTCACTAAAGCAGTCAAGTTTTTTATGATCAATATTAATTTGTGTCTTTTACAGCTGTTTTGTTTACAGATTCCTTTTAATACCAGAATATAAATTCTCAAAAAAACACCAAAGAACTGAAGATGCTGGAAATCAGAAACAAAATCGGAAATTGCTGGAAAAACTCAGCAGGTCCGGGCAGATCTGTGGAGAGAAAGCATAAATTCTCAAACTGCCAATTGTGGGATTTGAACTTAATTTCCTGAACTGGCCTTATAGATTACTAGTCTATAATGTAATATTGCAGCTAGGGCAAGTATTGAAATTGTAGAAATATGAATATAATAGACAGTCCTGTTTGTTCTCTCTTTCAGAAAATACAAGTGCTAGCTGCTCTCTCTTGGTATTGTACCAAAGGGCAGTTTTTAATTACAGTGTCAGTGACAGTCTCACCTTAAACTGTACCATTCAGTTCTGTGCTAATGGAACACAATTGCCTAAGGCTCACTGGTGTAAGATGTTTGGAAATGTTTGTCAGCCAGTGACTGGAAGGACTCATCATCCAAACATGAGCTATTCTCTTCTTGTCGGGGACAAGAAGATGTCAGTGATTCACACTGTTGCTCATGTTGAGCTGAGTACAAGTGGCTTTTACCAGTGTCAAGCAACAGAAGGAGCTGTAACCACAATGGGCCAGTTTGTTCAAGTGAATGTGAAAGGTAAGCATTGATTTTCTTTATTTCACATCACTGAAGTCACTCACGTCAAGATGGCATGGTCGAGCAGCCAACAATTCCTCAAGTGGTGTGCCCTAAATTTGATGTGCACAACGGATTGATTTGCCACCTCCAGCAGCGAGGGCTGTCATCTGCCTCATTGCAAACAGTGGATCCTAAACCAAGGATGTTCAACCATCCACGCTAAAATATATTGAAAAAGTTGGAGCAATGACTAAGTCAATCAGAGAATGTCGTCTTATAATTTTTTTGTTGCATTGAACCTAATTTGTTCTACAATTTGGTTTCTTTGAATTCTTCAAAATTGTGAAGGAGTTAGATTAAGTAGACATAGAATTAATGCAAGGAATTTTCCATTCTAGAGGACATAATTTTAAGGTGAGGAGAAAAGGGGCCTGAGGGCAACTTTTTCTCACAGAGGGTAATTCGTATGGTATTGATTTCAACTGGGGCACATACAGTTACAACATTTAAAAGATCTTTGGATAGGTACATGAATAGGAACAGTTTAGAGGGATATGGGCCAAATGCAGCCAATGGGACTAATTTTATTTCGGAAACCTGGTTGGCATGGACAAGTTGGACCAAAGGGTCTGTTTCTGTGTTGTATGACTCTATGACTAATGTCGAGAAATGTGACAAAGTACAAAAAGAATGAAAATAATCAGGTTTTTGGAATGGAGAAAAACTCATACAATTTTCCCCTTAAGCCTTGAGTGATGACTTCAGAATCTCATCACCGAGTGGGAACTAGCTTATTTCCACGGATTTGAATCTCATCAAAATACCGGCACTTTCAATGCTCCTTGGCACCAAGAGATGAGACCCACAACCACCTGACAGATAAAACAAAGCTGCAGCTCACTGACTGTCTGACCTGGCCATCATGCATCTGCTTCTTCTGCAGGATGTCCTTGCAAGGTCCCTGCTCTTCCTCCTTCACCCTCGCAACAACACATTGGCAAACCACCAGCCTCACTTCAACATCCAATTGTCTTGGACCAACTAAGCTATTACCCTAAGCCTCTAACTCACTACCTTGGACAAGATGAACACCTACCTAGTGCATGCTTCTGCCTGGTCACTTTATGCATGGTGCAGCCTCAGATCTCATGCACTTACACAGGATGCTTCAGTGCTAACAATCTTAACTTTTCACAGTGATCATTTACTTTTGTACTTACCTGTAGCATGCCAGCCTCTGTCTGGATAACATTGCTTGCTTAATACACAAGTTCTTGAGCATTCAGCTACAAGCTGCCAGCCTCTGCTGTTTCGCTCTCTATTTATGGCAGAGGGAGAGGCAGACAGTTTGTGACAGTGGGGAGCACTGAGCAGTCAGTCAGTCAGTAAGACAGTGGGTAGATATGTCACTGGCTGACACTAGGCTTCAATAACATCAGAGCTGCTGCATGTGCCAGCAGCTTACACTGCAAACCTAATGCATGTTCTTCAAGTAAATACAATCCACCAAACATCTAAGTTATGAGATTAATGAGGTGAAGAATAGAAGATTGCATGACATAATACATCTTGGGCAACGTTCTCACTTTTTTTTTGGAGTTGTGTGCACGGTAGCATCTTCCAGGACTGGAAGTAAATGCTGTGAATTATTTTGGCGTGCTACTTGCTGTGCATTGACCCTCTGAGAGCCCATGCATGTGCATGGCAGAGGGAACCCTAATTCTGGGACATGACAGATGGAGTGCCATGAAACCCACTCACCACAACATTTGAACTGCAAATGGGAAAATTCAGCCCAAAGTTTCAACTTGTCGATGCATCCAAACATAAGACAGTCACTAAGAACTTGTGTGTAATTTCTTTACCCATAAAGTGTTTGAAACATAGGAGTAGCTCCAGCAAAGGCGAGTTGAGAGTAGCATAGACAAATTTAAGGGAAAGCTAAGTAAGTATACAAAGTGGAAAGAGCAGAAGTGAGATGAAGTTGAGCCAAAGGACACCCATTTAATTCACAAATGCCAGAATAGATCAGTTGGGTTCATTAGTCTGTTCCTGTGGTGTAGACCTGATGTTGCATAGATATTGTTAGATTCATTGCTCCTTCCTGATGCCCTGTCATGATGACAGAGTTCTGCAAACTACAGAAGATCTACGATGATGATAGATCAACAATAGCAATATTAGGGAAATTCAGGAATTTGATCCAGCAACAACAGAGGGATTCTATGATTAACAATGAAAGAATGGAGTTTTATGGTATTATATTGTTTGGAATTCCAATAATATTTGAACGCTAGTTAAACACTATGAGCTGGCTCAGTTGATAGAATTCTTAGCTCTGAGGAACAGATGATGGTCAAAGTCAAACTAGAGCACATTGGTGCAAAATTGCTTTGCTGCAGGTACTATCTTTCAAATTAAACATTAAACTGACTGTTACGATCCCAGTTGATGTTATTACTGTTCAACTCATATCTCAGAATGAAACCTTGTTGGACCCTAACTTTATTTTGTTTCAAACTATGGAGATTAGGTACAGAACAAATTTACAAGAGGCTGTCAGTGTACTTTTAACACAGGAATAAAATGATTAGTAAACAAGAACAATAAACTTTATTCATGTTACACTAGACAAAATGAAAGTTTGGAAAGATTTAATTATAGACATCAAAAATAAGTTGATCTTCATGCTATTTCTTTTATCACAAGATCCTTTATTGTGATCGATTGGACCCAGTTGAAGTTAATTATAAGTAAGTCAGATCCTGACAGGTATCTGGCTGGATAGATCATAACTTATTTTTATTTTTGTTGCTGAAATGATGTTTTACTAAATAAAAGCACCCAATACTGCAGTCTTTAGTTTAACAACAAAAATATTTATTAACAACTGAACTGAAAAAAACATTCTATTCCTGCATAAAACAGATTCATAGATTTTTAAACAATAGAAAAAAAGCAAGAACTGTCTATAGATGGAATAGAAACACAGCTTTGTATTGGAATCAGCACACCCTGTGTAGCTTACAAATATTGTTACAACTTTAAGAACATCTAACGCTGTACCTCTAGCGAGACACAGTCCAGTTCATTTCCAAGGGAGACAGTGACTCTTTTTAATACTTTGATGGGTTTAAAGAAATTTAAATTTCTATTCATCTGCTGGGACTGTAGGTACTCTTTTTTAATTATTAATATTATGCTCCTGACTTAGATACCTTCTATTGCTATACTATTCCTGAAGCAACTTCAATTCTTTTGCTACTTTGTTTTGAAGCTTTTAAAAATGCTTAACTTCACCTCATTTCCACTGCCTATATTTCAACATGTCAATCTGGGATCAATCATAATTTTATTACATTAAACTTACTTTCTTAAGAACACTGCTTAGCACGTTACTGCACTAAAACACTTCCCAGCACCTGATACATGTTTATCTCCCTGGGAACTCTGGGTAACTTCTTCCCTCTTGGAATTGTGGGTATTGTAGTTTCTAGAAGCTAATTGTCAACTTCACATACCCAGACAAACTTACACGTTTAATGTAGAATACCAGGAAGCCAAACTCACAGTAAGTGATATTAGAATACATATACACATAAATGTCACAGTTTCATCACTCCTTACAATACTCTTCACACTAAAGATCCCTGCTTACACTCAAACTGTGGCAGCTGCAATCAGTTTTCTTATGACAAATTTCTGTACGGTAGATGCTTGGATGCCTTTTGCTTTTATCAGGTGTCTCCCGCTGAGCCACCTGAAACAAACTGCAATCTAAACTTGTTATTACTTTAAACTTTAGAGCAAATACAGATTTCCTAGATTCTGGCCTCAACCTTCTAGCACTCCCACACTAACTGATTTTGGAATGTTTCATTTCTATGTATTTCTGGACTCCAGTCATTAGGCAAAAGCAGGGTTTTATTTTGTTTTCTACTTGTAGTAATGCATTGAACTATTTATCTCAAGGATTTAAAACCTCAGTGAAAAGGACATAAACAAAATGAATCCTCAGATTCTCTGATACCACTCATAGTGCAAAGATAAAACGAAATTAAACCATGTCACCTCAACTTTATGAATAAAATACAAAATGTAAACTCAATTTAAAGTTACACATTAACTTTTAACACAACACTCCAAGTTGTCTTTTGTGGTGAATGTAACAGCCCTTGAGATATCATTTGATGAAAAATGCATATTTTGCCTGTTGTTCTAGCCCTTCTTCCTCCTTGAGTCACCACCAATAAACTAAAAGAAGGAAAGACGTACTTCATTTAGTATTGATGAAATATTGCTGTGTGCATACTAACGATTGTGTTTCCTATATAAGGACAGAGACTGAACTTTATTGTGTTACAAATTTAATTTTTTCTACAATTTAATTTGCTTTTGTGTATCTTCCAGATTGTTCACCGACATGTTCAGTATGGAGGTGGTACAGTATCGGCAGATGGGTCATATTTGGTTTGATGGCCATGATGCCAATATCATTGTGCGTCATAGGGTGTGGCCAAGGTAGTAACCAAGACAAGACTTTTAACTCTTTCATTAGTTAACAGAAATATTAATTTTTACCAGGATTCTGGGCCGATGTACAACTGCTTATGTACAAGGTCAGAAGCCTGATGGTCACAAAGCATTGGTCCTTGGCTCTCACTACCTATTTGAAGTGAGCTGTAGGCAATGCTTGTGCCACTAGAAGCAGATTACACTAAAAGAGAAAGCAATTTTGGCTTTTCTCAGCCCTCATCAAGTGCAGTAGCTATTCTGAAGACGGGTCACTAAACTTGAAACATTAACTCTGTTTTCTCTCCACAGATGCTGCTAGCACTGCTGAGTTTCTCTCGCAACTTCTGTTCTTGTTTCAGTATTAGATAAACTAGAGGAGCTGGGATTTTTCTTGTAGCAGACAATGGTATGAGGAATTTTGTTTTTAATCCTTGGTGGGATGAGGCATCGCTGGCCAAACCAGCATTTATTATCCTCCCTAGTTGCCCTTGAGAAGATGGTGGTGAGCTGTCTTCTTGAACCACTGCAGTCCATCTGCTGTGGGTTGACCCACAATGCCCTTGGAGATGGAATTCCAGGATTTTGACCCAGAAACAGTGAAGAAACAATGATATATTTCTAAGTCAGGATGGTGAATGGCTTGGAGGGGAACTTGTCAGTTCCCATGTATCTGCTGCTCTTGTCTTCCTGGATGAAAGTGGTTGTGGGTTTGGAAGGTGCAGTCTGAGGAACTTTGGCAAATTTCTGCAGTGCATCTTAAATAGTACACGCTGCTGCTACTGAGTGTTGATGGTGGAGGGAGTGGACGCTTCTGGATGTAGTACAAATAAAGCGGGCTTCTTTGTCCTGGATTGTGTCAAGTTTCTTGAGTGTTGTCGGAATTGCACCTATCCAGGCTAGCGTGGACTATTCTATCACACTCCTGACTTGTGCTTTGTAGATGGGTGGCACGGTGGCTCACAGCGCCAGGGACCCAGGCTTGATTCCGCCCTCGGGTGACTGTGTGTGGAGTTTGCACAGTCTCCCCGTGTCTGCATGGGTTTCCTCCAGGTACTCCGGTTTCCTCCCACAGTCCAAAGATGTGCAGGTTAGGTGGATTGGCCATGCGAACCGTCTATTGTTTTAGGGATGTGGAGGCTAGATGGATTAGCCATGGGACATGAGGGGTTACAGGGATAGGATGGGGGAATGCTTCTGGGTGGGATGCACTTTGGAGGTTCGGTGTGGATTTGATGGGCTGAATTGCCTGCTTCCACACTGTAGGGATTCTATGATTCTATAATGGACAAGCTTAGGGGAGTCAAGAGGTGAGCTACTCACTGCAGTATTCCCAGCCTCTGACCTGCTCTTGTAGCCATTGCATTTATGTGGTGAGTTCAGTTGACTTTCTGGTCAATGGCAACCCCCAGGATGTTGACATGGGGGAGTTCAGTGATGGTAACACCATTGAATGTCAAGAGGTGGTGGTTAGATTGTCTCTTATTGATGATGGTCATAGCCTGGCATTTGTGTGGTGTGTGTTACTTGTCATTTGTCAGCCCAAGTCTGGATATTGTCCAAATCTTGGTGCATTTGAGCACAGACTGCTTCAGTATCTGAGGAGTCAGAAATGGTGCTGAACATTGTGCAATCATCTGCAAACATCCCCACTTCTGACCTTTTGATGGAGGGAAGGTCATTGATGAAGCAGCTGATGATGGTTGGGCCAGGACAATACCCTGAGGAGCTCTTGTAGAGATGTCCTGGAGCTGAGATGACTGACCTCCAACAACCGCAACCATCTTCCTACGTACCAGGTATGACTCCAACCAGCAGAGAGTTTATCCCCCGATACCCGTTGATTCCCATTTTGCTCGGGCTTCCTGATGCCACACACGGTCAAATGTAGCCTTGATGTCAAGGGCTGTCACTTGTGCTTAACCTCTGGAATGAAGCTCTTTTGTCCGTGTTTGAACCAAGGCAATAATGAGGTCAGGAGCTGAGTGGCCCTGGCAGAACCTGAATTGGGCGTTATTGAGCAGGTTATTGCTGAGCAGGTGCTGCTTGATAGCACGATTGATAACACCTTACGTCACTTTACTGATGATTGAGAGTTGACTGATGGGGTGGTAATTGGCCGGGTTTGATTTGTCCTGCTTTTTGTGTACAGGACATACCTGGGCAATTTTTCACATTGTCAGGTAGATACCAGTGTTGTAATTGTACTGGAACAGCTTAGCTAGGGGAGCAGCAAATTCTGAAGCACAAGAGTTCAGTACTTTTACTGAATGTTGGCAGGTCCCATAGCCTTTGCAGTATGCAGTGTCTCCAGCCATTTCTTGATATCACATGGAGTGACTTGAATTGGATGAAGACTGTTGTCTATGATGCTGGGGACCAATGGAGGAGGCCAAGATGAGCATCCACGTGGAACTTCTGGCTGAAGATTTGAACATAACAAGAAGACAAAGATTTCAAATAGTTGGCAAAGGAACAAGAGACAAGCTGCAGATACTTTAGAACAGATCACATAATAACTTTCAAAGGATTGAATAATTATTTGAAGGGAGAAATTTGTAGGGCTGTGGGAATAGGGCAGGAAATTGGGCCCAATTGGATAGCACGGGAACAATGGGCCAAGTGGCCTCTTCCTACGTTTCTATGAAGTATTAACCCATGGCAGAATCTTCAAAAGCACTGAGCTTGTATCTGCCCTGGTGATGATTATCATCTCCTTCCTTATAAATCTCACCTCCAACAGAGGGGGAGTATAATGTTTTCATGTCACAAAAGCTGGCCTTTATAAGACAGTTATGTTGTAAACTGTCTCTTTCAATTCAAGGTAAAATGAGATTTTTAGGAGAGGGGGATATAATCTATGAAAAATGCCTCTGATTGGCTGAGAGTTTTCAGCAGGCAGGACTTTCAGCAAGGCCTAGAGCTGGTCAGTTTTGTCACTGAGTGGTACACAATGTGTGAGCCTTCCACAAGAGGCAACATAAGGCTCTCAATGGCCCCAACAGCTTAAGTTCAGAGTCAGTCAGACAGAGATTTGGTGAGGACCACCAAAAACAGTTGTTGCTTTGATAAGTTGAGGAGAGGGGCTACTTTTGTGTTAACCACCAAGCAGAGTACTTGTCAGAACAGATTCCCAGTTTCAGAATGCAAGGCTAGTGGAGATTTAAAGATCAAGTAATTAGCAGATGGTGCCTTGCTACTGGAAATCCATTTGATTTTGCACAAGAATCTGTTTGGGGGTAGAAGTGCAATAATCTACCAGTGTACCTCTTGGTTTCCTGTAGTCACATAACATCTACCTTGAGGCTGTCACGATAAGCTTCCATCTTGAAGCCAGTTCAATCAAACAGCATACAAACAAGATTGCTGTGCTCAGTGGTTGTAACAATTGGAAGGTTCACCCTGGTGGGGCAGAAAGAGGAGTTCCTGCGTGTTGAAGCCAGGATAATCTTGGGACTTTATACATAAGGCTACATCTTTTCTGAGATTGCATTGTAATGTATAGTGAGACATGGGTTTTCAGTTGTGTTAGGAAGATAATGGCAGTATCTTTTCCGTAACTTGGTACCTTAATTGCCTACTAAGTAATATTTAGTCGATACTGATTTCATTTGTTTGTTATAGTTCAAGTCTTAAACTGTGAAATCTTGTCGTGAAATCCTTTGCATTAGTCACTCAGAAATTCATTCTTTTTAATTTACCAATCTGATGTCAAAGAGATCATGACAATAACGTTATTAACTTTATGGCTATGAGATAACAGACGTTTTATTTGCAGGATGACATTGAGCTGACATCACCACTGATCCTTACTGTTCTCTACAATCATCAACCATTGGTAGCTCCGAAAAGAACAAAATCTGGCCAAGACATACTCCACAAGCAAAACCACACTGAAGCAGCATTCTTCAGACAGCTCAGCATTCAATATGACCTTAGTAATTAAAATTCACAGAAGGATTTCACGCTAACAAGAATGCAGGCTATAGCAATTATGCAGAATCTTATCTTCTTGTAGAGAAAACATATTTGCAGATTATGGAATGGATTTCATGTGCCCCTACTAGTACATTTGAAACCAATCATGCTGGTGGCGAGTGGATGTGGGGTGAGGAAGAGATCATAAAATTCAGCTTGGTGTTTGTATCTTTTCTGTTTCATAGTGAATTCCAGAAATAAATATTCTAAGAAACTGATCCAATTTCTTCCAGGAATGAGTACCTCATTTTTAAAGAAGCATATATTAGACTTCACCACTGTTAGAACATAGGTCATTTATGATTAACTGCTCTATCTACTCCTCAAATTCAACCAAGTTTCCAAGATATTGAGGTTGAAGATTTTATGAAACATACTGTATACACAATAGTATTTAGCCATACACATCAAACAAAGAATTTCCATTATGTCTGGGGGTCTCAGATTCCCTACTTCAATTAGGTTGACCAAACCCTTTGAAACTCAGATTGTCATTAGCATTTGTGACTTTAATACTTTTCTTGCATGTGTATGATGTGACCTGCTATCTATATCTCAATAATACACAGCCACATGAAAAGGTAAAAACATCTCCAAATAAGGAAAATACAATCAGCACCAATAGCTTATCCATTCTCAGTAATATGCTGTTTTCCTCACCAATGACATCTTTCCAACTTTGAGCTAAAAAGAATCAGGAGAGTTTATATCATATGCATATTTCACATTTTCTAAATCTGTTTGATTGTGTGTCATTCAACACTAATTTGATTTGAACTCGTAAGTGGAAAATGAAAGCACAACAGATACTCTGTCCTAACAGCTACAGGTCAACTCTACAATGATTAACAGGAGTGAAAATAAGTAAACTTGTAAACATTATTAATTCTAGCATCCCTAACTTGACTAAAATAAGCCCACACTGCTTTCTTTTCTTGATTTTGATTACCAATTGAGTTCTCAAGCACTCAAAGCCAAACAACTTCTACCTCTCTCACCCTTTCCTTTTTCACCCTCTTTCTCTTGTCCTTCTCTTTCACTCATTCCACATCTCTCCCTCCATCTCTCTCTCCATCCTTCCTGCTCCTCCCCTTCGTCACTCCTCAGCACAACTCCACTTCTTCTTCCTGTTCTCATTTTCTAATTAAATGGGTGATTGTAAAAGTTCATTGGTCACTTTTTCAAATTTGCTGTATATCTGTCACTATTTTAAGATTTACAATTTAAATATCACAATCCTCTCATTAACAAAGGCTAAAAGCTAACAAACATTGTTACAAAATGTTAATAATATTGGTAACAAAAACAAAGTTGCTGGAAAAGCCCAGCAGGTCTGGCAGCATCTGTGAAGGAAAAACCAGAGTTAATGTTTCGGGTCCAGTGACCCTTCCTCAAGCCTCTGCAGAAGGGTCACCGGACCCGAAACGTTAACTCTGTTTTTTCCTT